GTTCAAGTCGACTCTCGGATCAAGTTTTAAAAGTATGATAATAATCGTTCTTGTCTTTATCTTGACATGGATCAAAAGTCAACCCTTTTCATGGTCTAAGTCGTGCTCTAAGTCGATTCTCAAATTAAAATTTAAACTATAATAATAATTATTTTTATTCTTGCACTCACTCGGATCAATTCAAGTCTTAACTAGTGACTCAGGCCTTGCCATAGATCGGCCCCTAAGTTGGGTTTTACATCTATGATAATAACAATATTTATCTTTCATATCTTAACCAGATAAATTTCAAATTAAAAGTTTTTTATAATAATATTTTAAAAAATAATAAATATTATCTCTAAAACAATATTCTCTTTGCCTCCTGTTTTGAAATCACAAAACCTCACTTTAAAATGGTCCAGGAACATTAAAATTTTATGTTTCTATCTTTTATCTCCTCAATAAAATATATTTTTATAGCTAGTGTTTCTGCTCTTTATGTCTCATCACAGCAACCAACGCTACCTTAACGAAGTATATATCAAATAGTTAAGGATAATGTGGAAGTGGTCGCCTATCAATTGCTTTTCTGTGGGACTCCATCAAACTAACTCCAAGAGAAAGACCTTTAATCGCCATGTATAATTTATACTTTTCCAATTAGAAATGAACTAACTCAGGCGGATCGTGCGCCTTCCTAGACCCTATAATGGCTATTATTTTAGAAGACATAGAGCAGCAGCACATATGCTTGAAAACCACTAGCACCACTCATCGCCATGCTTGCCTAAAGTCAGAAGAAAAAGGCATGAAAAAGGAGGCCAAGAGAAGGATAAAACTTGAGTTGCTCTATCCATTCATGCATGATGAAAAGTTTATCTATCATGTGTCGATCTCTTAAGTAGAGTTTATGGGGAAAAAATAAACCTCACTACGTTATTTGATGCCAACGCGGTCCACTATATATATATATATATATATATATATATAGCTAGCTTAGGTTAATTTCTTTTGACTTCCTGGATTCAATGGGGGTTTTAGCGAGGATGATGTAAGCAGCACCACTACCTAAACATAGACTATATAATATTTTTATTAGAGGCCAGGCTCCTTAATTACATATATAATAATCCACCAAGAGGCTTGCTTAGCTAGCTCCCATGCATCATTGTATTATAATTATAATTATATTATAGAAAAAACTAAAAAGATGGTTTTTTTTTTTCTATTCATGTTACCGTGCCGCAACACACAGTCGCAGTTTTTGGACTGCCACAGTGAAGCCGTGTTTGCCCCTTTTATCCCTGGATTTTATATATATATATATTATGATTTCATCATCGCATAAAGCCTAACAATTTATTTAGGTTTACATTTGTCCTCTCATTTAATTATTACTTGATTTTAAGAAATGGAATTTGATTTTATCAATTGAAAAGGTTAAATACATAAATAAAAAGACAGCCCTTTTTTTCTTTTTAACTGCTCACGGAGCATGGAAAAGTTTAGTTTATTCCCTAAAGTTTTTACTTTTCATTTTTTAACCTTTTCTTTTTAGAGTTTTATGTCTCATTCCTAAACTTCATTTTATGTTTTGCATAAATAATTCTATTACTGATTGTTTTATAAATAATTATGTATTAGCCTAACATGTTGAATTTTTAAAATAATTTACTCATTAATATTTAATGGAAATAAAATATTGTTTTTATTACATATTTTATATATTTTCTTCAATTATATTGTTCTTACTATTTTTTTCATATGATGCATAAAAATAATCAATTCATGTTTTTTTAATTGAGACTTGCTTCAACTATCATAATAAGTTTTCTCTTTAAAAAAA